CTAAAAGAACAAAACCACTTTTCAGGGCAGCAGTCATTCCTATTGACTGAATGAAAAGTAGACCTGGCATCCTGATTGTCTTTGTCGCATACACTACACGGGAGTCTTCCACATTTATCTTGGCTACTGACGCTCGTTCACTTGCTCACATAGATTTAATATCTGATGGCAGAAGGAGCGCATGAAGCATGGGGATAGTTTAACCTAAACACCAAGCATTTACGAAATTTCGACGATGTGAAGTTCAAATCTTAACTTTGAAAGGAGTAAAGGGACATTCCACTCGTGACTGATAGCCGAAGAATAAAAGGCTATCCAATGAAGGGCGTGCCATTAAAGGATATATTTTGCCTTATTTTCACCACCCTTTGGCGGGAAATTCAGTTAACACTTTACCATTAGGCCACGTGTTCGCAATCAGATCAAATGTTAGCACAAATTTGACATCCGGTTATGATGGAACACTGCTTTAACCCATGCATAGCATCTTTTGGAAAATAGAAATCGTATTCTCTCTCCCTCTCACTCGATGTCTGCTTCTCTGATATGCCTTTCTCCTCCTCTCTAAGCCAAGGTAGAAATGAGGAGCGGCTTGTGTTTGATGAGCATGAATTTACCTTCTTTGATTCACAAATTTTATCTCCCTTATTTGTAGAACCTAGTACACATGCAATCCCACTTAAATAAGTCATGGGAATGCCTTGACTTCCTCCTAAACCTTCTCTGCGGTAGGTCTAGTGAAGCAGACCTGACTACTTGGATTGGATTGCAGTGCAAATCCCTCTGCTTAGCCGTCTTCTAATAAATTATATTCTTATCGAATAATAAGGAAGGATTGTTCTTCAAATCTGTCTCTCTCCAAAGCCATTCAACCAAATGAAGGAGGAGAAGGAGGAGGATAAAGCCATGGAAACACAATGTTTCCATGCAGTATTCAGGTGGAATGTTCAGCACCTGTCTGAAAATTCTCACAAAACTACACTAAAGTGAGATGTTAAAAGGTGATTTTTACCTAATTGTTGAAGTAATTTTGCCATCTGAAAGTCTTGAGGTCCACACCCACTGCTATCGATGTGTGCAGCTCTCTTACTGTAGCACTACAAGACTTTATTGAAGATGAAGGAAGAAAATAGTAAGATGGGAAATGTATTATAGACAAACAGAAGGGCTTGGAGGCTACTGCCATGGGCCGGAGGTCACTCTGCCTGGCAGAGGTACAATCACCGGCGCCTTCAGTTCGCTAGCAACGACAATAGGAAGTAAAATGTATGCCTAAGATTTTGTTGTTTCGGAGGCCATGACTCGTTTTTATTGATGCTTTGGTGTAAAAAACGTTCTTTTGAATGTGTTTTTGGAATCTCTGATGGAGTGGACGCCATTGACTCCAAAACAAGAAACAAAATCTTAGGCATATAATTCGCTCTCAATTGTAGTTACACGCGAACTAAAGGCGCCGGTTATTGTAGCTCTGCCAGGTAGAGTGACCTCCGGCCCATGGTAGCAGCCTCCAAGCCCTTCTGTTCGTCTATAATACATTTCCCATCCTACTATTTTCTTCCTTCATCTTCAATAAAGTCTTGTAGTGCTACATTACCAACACCTCCAAGTGCTATCATGTACCGTAAGGCAACACGATCTTTAATAGTTTCGTCGAAATGGAACCTGTAAGATCATTTACATGAAGGCAAAGTTGTTCTTGGGAGCTGGAATTCACAAAATATTGCACAGACTTAATAAAGGTGGTCAATTATAAAAGAGGGCATAAAAAAGAATTGGGTTATAACAGTAGTAAGACGGCTATAAAGGCTGTCAATAAAAATATAAGCAAAGAAATGTGATTGTGAGCGACCACGAGATATTGCCATATTCTCCCCCGTTCACCTTATCTTTAACCCCTGTAGAAACGTTCCATAGTCTAGGCAATCACCCTCACTATGCCTTAGGTTCATTTATCCATTCAGTCTATTGCCTCTTTTATCTCGCTGAAGACAATTTAAGTTGTTCGCCATCTGGCTATATATTCCAGTCATAGTAAATGCTCAATACAAAATGTCATGCATTTTATGTCAGTTGATTTAGTGTTTGCCAAATCAAGTCGACTTCAAAGATGTAAACTTTAGCAGCAAAAGAGTAGGTATTAGCTTCACAGATCCACAGATGTTTCGTCCAGTGATCATTTTTGCATAAGATTTGTCATTCCACAATTCCGGCAGTGCCAACTTCCAAAACGGATCTATGCTCTCATAATCAACCGTAGGTGGTTGCTCAAGTCAGTCGAGTCTGTGTAGGACAAAACAAATTCTCCTTAAAACAGATATATATATATATATACATTTTGAATAAACCTCTCTTTCTTTAGTGGAACAACATGCCCACCCATCGAGCATTCTTGGCCGAGACTTCGGAAATCGCGAAGCAACCAAATGCGTCTGCTTCCTAGAATGAATCCCTCAATTTGAAGAGCAGATTTTGAGATTTTTAAGTGTTTAGGAGTCTCCTTAGTCAATACAGCTTTGCGAAACCCTTTTTCATTTGCCAATAATATTTAACTACAGGTGAATGTGCAAGCCCAAATCTACCAATTTACCTATAAAAGTGCATTTCGTAAACAAATATGCTACTTGTTGGGGTGTAAGTAGAAACAAGCTTGTTGTGAGAAATAAGTACTGCAACGTGACGGGCTACGCTGTCACCCATCACATGTCTGTTCACTGGGCAGTAGTTATGTGAATCGGCTTCTTGTTCTCCTAACTACCAAATCACCAATTCTTCTCCAAGTTTGCCGCTCCAAATCCACCAGCAAAGGTAAGTGTTGTAAAGCAAATTTAACTCTCTTAAAGGAAATTGGCAATGTGTATAAGCTGGTAGCATAAATGGTACGAAGAGAGCTCGATCTTTCTTGCCGACACGGCCGATTCGAGGAGAGGGACACCAAAGGATTCATGCAACTAAATTGGGTGCGCTACCGATCTTTGTCATTCGAGTACCGCCATAAACCCACCTTGATGTCTTTGGTAATAATCTTAAACTTTGTTCATTGTAAATGCATTAAAGGAGGCTAAAGCGGATTGCTGGACAGAAATGCCGATCACTCGACGGTTACCCATCACCCTCAAGTGTCAGTGCGTCCCACTACCACATCCAGACGAATTAGTCAATCTGTGCTGAAGCACAGAATTTCAAACTAGCTACTGACTTTTGGTGCCTATTGTCGGAAAGTACTCGGATCCTGTTGGATCACATGTGACTATCCTGCTGTATCGAATTACCGAAATTGATGATTATGCTACCGTCTTAGGGTAAAAGTTGTGCTTCAGCACTGCTCACTATGTTTCTTGGGCACCATCTAAGCTGCATTATTGTGGTATATCAAAGAGATGGCAACCGTTCAGGCGTGTTTTAGTCTAAACATTGAAGTCACCTTTAATGGAGGGCCTTAGCGCTTAGCGGAGACATGCAAATACACTGTCCAATGATGCACCAGTTGCAAAGGGAACATCAGGTAGCCCTGCTACCCACATTTACTTCGAGTGGTTGGGAAACCGATAATGCTTAAGTAGAACAGTAAAGCTGTGTCTGTTAAGAAATAGCCAGAAAAAATGCGAACAATGAACCCGGGAAGTGAAAATAACCCTTTGACAAAGTACGACTTGCCCTTGCGTTTTGCTTTTTCATGAAAACCACAATCTGTAAAGCTGTTACAACCACCTTTTGGGACCCCAGGGGACCAAATTGTACGAGATATATGCATTCAACTTAGCAAGATGGATTTTACATTAAAAATGATTCACCAAATGCAACCTTACCTGTAACATGTGCCTACTTGACCTCAACTTTACAAAGACAGGCCACCGAGCCGGTAAAAATCCCGAAAATTTTATAAAACCTCTAATTTCTTGATAAAATACAAACTCTCACCTCTGTAGATTTTCTCTAACCTGTTTAACCTCATTTGCAAACAATGCATCAAAACACCACCAAACTAATCCTCTTGACCATAGAGTAGGAAATCGTGGGCAGGCGGAGGAAAAAATGAGAATTCAACCTCTGCTACTATTCGGAGCACCATTCGTGGATTGGGACTGTTTTGAAACAACGGTTAGCCAAATGGGAACTATTCAAGAATCCTGATTCAAAACATCATATCAGCTTCTGTTTTGGGTTTCACATTCTCTTAAAGGCGGTATCTAAAAGGCCAGTAGAATTCCCTCACGGAGTAAAAGCTCTGACAAGGCTGTCCGTACTTCTCAGAAAACTCGCGAAGTGGTAGCACGATGTAGTCCTGCCAACTCAGCATTGTAACGGTATATCAAATGAATACAATATAATTCTAACATACTAGAGCTTGAGAATGCTAACGGACCACAACTGACATTTACCATCGCAGCTCTGTGCGAAATGATTATGTCCACTGACAACCAAATGGACCAAGACGCCTGATCAAATAGGCAGATGACTTATTTGGTTCATGAAATGCGAGCCACGCCATGGCTAGTGTTACCAAAGCTTGCTTAGACAACCTTCTCTTCATGTAAGTGGTACTTAGAAACTCAAGGAGAACATGCATCAGATTTTGGACTAATTCTCAACTTTGCACAAACAACCCTAATATTTCAAATTAGACAAGCAAAAAATGCCTTTTGTAGTTTTACGATCACCCACGAAAGGTTTGTTTAAGTTGGGTGTAGAATTAAAATACGGTTGGCATCGCTATACCGTCGCCAGTCATCCACAGCCAAAAAGACAAAATCGATCACTATGAGATGCATAAAACAGAATTATTTTATATATGTTTGCTCACAGCCCCTTTTCTTATATCTTTTTTCTCCTTACAAGACAAATAAAAAGACGAGCATGCACATAAAAACAGCAACCAAAATCATAGCGTTGGGAAGTTAAGACTATAAAAGCTGATCTAACAATCTGATCGCGCACAAATAAGGCTGGAGGTAGAAGGTGCAAAATGGAAGTAGTAAGGTGGGCTAAAGCAGTGTTGAATGTCAAATTTTCCTCACTTTTTCGCCTGATACCGTCGGGTTGGCCTTGCGCAGTCGTTCCCGCTCGTGCGACTGATAATCAAAAGCGCAGTTGTGGCTGTCGGCAAAGCGATGTGTGGTACAGAAAACTCCACCACAGGCACATACAATGCCCTGCTCTAATAACAAGGAAAAAAATGCAAAAAGTTGCACCACGAATGAGATATCAGCCACGAAATGATCCTCTGATCCACTCACCTATCAAGCTAAGTCGTTTGTTGCACACCCCACAGCGCACGACATTGGGTGCTGAAACGGCAAGAAGAAATAAAAGTGGGCCATAAATATGGAATGTTTTAATATCGCTTGATGATAGCTAAATCAAATTTGCACAGAAACACACCAGTGTTTTGTGTGGCCATAACTGATAACTTGCCGTGTCTCTTACTTGGATAGGTTTAAAGAGAGCAACTCTTGAACAGTGCTGCGAAAGCAACTCAGAAATGGGTATCCAATTACAAGTTTGACTATATCACGAATGATCACGATTCAACACTCTGTGAATCACAAGACACCATTGTTTTAAAGTAGTTAGTGTCTACGTGAATAAAAATTGAAAAATGCTGGTACCAAAAATAAAATTAGCATTTCCCCTAACTCTGTTTTCCCCAGAAAAGTGTACAAAATGAACTGCATTAAGAATGCATAATTGTACTGAAATCGACATTGCTGGAAGACTTAATTGGCTAGTTTGTGGAGGGTACCTAGCCAAATACTCTATTATTCGATAAAATTTTAGGCACTAAAACGCTCAGTATTGCGAAAAAAGCAATGATAATAAAAATTTATTAGTAAGATAAGCAATAAATGCTTACATAAACTGCGTCTAGCAGTATTCTGGGTGGGTACAGCTTCTACAGGATTTGGTTCATTTTGTAATTTAGAATAACTCAATTTGGCGACATCTGCATCATTTCAGAAATAAATAAAAATAATAAGCATATTATGCTAAAGCAATTTAATTCATTGAAAGCTTCAAAAGATTGAGGAATTTAATAAAAGAGGAAATACCCAAAGAAGCGTCGAGATTAGGTTTTGTTATTTGCGGATCCTCTCCCACAATGAGCTTATAGCATGCCGAACAGTATCCCTGGTTTTCTAATGTTCCGTAGAATCCACACCCATTTTTGCATAACAAATTGTTATGACAGTTCTTCTGAAGCGTTTCTCCCAAGGTCATCGTTACCAATTTTATTAAGAGAAAAACTTCAAGTTGCATGCAAACTCAAAGTCTTTTTAAAGAAAACAAATGCATTTCACACAACAAAGCCGTGTTAGGCTACAACCTGACAGTCTTCTAAGCAGAAAGCTAAAAATTATGCATTAGCAAAATAAAGAATGAATAACTTGTTAGCTGTGGCGAATGCCTTTAGACAATATTCAACTATGAACAGCAGTGGTTGCTATGACGCCACAGATAGACAAAGCAGACGGACGCAAAGGAATGAAATCTGAGCAATTGACAAGACTTCTAAGGCAGTTTTAGTTATTTTTTTGTGACAAATTCACTATGAATGGCGCTGGTCTAGACAAAACTAGTAGATTAACTAAACCACAGGCATAGCGCAAGTTATTCGGAAGTCCAATTCATACAAGCGCGCATATTATTGTTTGGTGCATTACACTTGTGTAAATGGCAGTGTCTAAAGTGCAATTAAAGGTTTGGGTGTAAGTCCATCCTTATCATACAAAAAAGGTCTTTTTGTTTATAACTTACTCACGAAAGTAAGTAAAGCTGGCAATAAAAGCGTGCTAAAATTGATTTTTTTGCAAACAACCTCAGGATTTGTTTAATTTACTGTGCGCAGTGGCGGCTTGGTTATACACATTTTGAAGGCCAGAAATGCAAGCATATGGTAGGGGTTCCGTATTGATCGGGGGTTGTATTTTATGAAACAGAAGAATGTGTTATCTTTCCCTGTTTTTTGATGGAAGGGTAGTTTTGAGGATTTCCGGAATCCATTGTTTTTCCATAGACTCTATCACTGTTTTTGCTATCATTCGTTTTCTCGTTGTCCCATGGGGAGATCTCTGCTCTAGACACCAATAAGTGGCTCCACAATCAGTAAGTCCCTATTTCTTTATTCCAAATATAGTTGGATTTTTTGTCCATAATCTGGTAATGAGTTCAATTGAGGGCACTACAACCGACTAATGAAATTCTCCTCAATATATTGTAGATAGGAGTCGACATGATTTGTTACTAGGATTTTTGCATTACTTATACATTTACATGTACTATTTAATTACTTTTCTTTGGCTGGTGTTTTCCTCCGATTGCTATCTGAATACTTTCAGTCATGAGTTAGGTGTAGTTCTGATCTCAAGTACAATTTTTGTGTAAGATGACGTTTAATAACAGTCCATTTTATGCATCGGCTCATCAGAACTGATTACAGATTCTCTTAATTGTGATTTCCTCTCTGTTTAAGCTACTGTGCGGGATGATAAGTCGTCACAAGTAAATATCTGACCTCTATCTGATCCCATCCTTTATTTCAGTTTGGCATGAGTGCACAGTCTGAATTAGATCAGAAACTATTTTTTTTGCTGGCAGGGACAACTGTACAGTCACTGTGGCAGGTCGCTGCAAACCAATCGATAGCCAACTGAAACAGAGTTGTCTGGGGACACCCCTGCCTTACGACTTTACCTCTGACGGCCCAATCATTGATGATGTCTCCCATTTTGACCTTCAGACCTGGGCCGCATTGAGGGCTATTCCAACATGCTGGGTCAAACTCCAAGTACGTTGCTGTTTAGAATAACTTTTCCATCGAAAGTCACCAGTTTAACTGTTTGTGTTTTGGTTCACTTTTAGCATCTTCACATCGTACTAGCACTTAAAACTTGTGTCAATGTACTAAAATTTTCCATTTTTTGTGTCTCGAAAGCATTGAATTGCTTCAATCAATGGTTTATAGTTATTTCTGCAGTTCTGTAGCTTTTAAAATGTGCCAATGGTTAGACAGCAAGATACGTTTATTTTTCTGGACGTTTGATTAGTCTTTCCCCTTAGCAATCCGTACGTAAAATGACGAAAGCCAATGTAACGATCATCTTGACAATGGGATGGTGTTGGCAGCACCATTATTTTGTTAATTTTGCAGTTCAATAATCATAATTTGTACCCGGGAAGCAATGCATCCGTTCCTATTTGCGTTTTTGCCATCAATTTCGCAATTATTTACTTATCCCCATTTTCTCATTTGAATTTCCAATGGGTTTAGACTCATTTTCGACATCGTATGTCGACAAATCCCAAAATCGTGGCATTTCTTTTACCGAAAAATTAGTCTTCTCGTCCGCTACAAGTGATTCTACTGCCGATTGTCCATCACAGGCTTTTGCAAACAGCATTTCAATCCTTTATAGATGTACGATTGTTGTTCTAGTATTTCTAAGTGAAAGCAGTATCTTCGTAATAAATCGGTCGAGGACGTAAACCTTACGTTTGAGAGCGTCTTACTGAATAGATTTCTTGGGATGCTTATCATTGTGCTGTTTTCTCATTTTTTAGGCTTGGGAAGTTGTTTTTTGGTCACTCTATTAGCATATCAAATATAAATTGCCACTGCTTTCATAGCTTTTCTTAAATTTCACCGAACTTTCAGCTTCCTATTCGTCTTTACAAGAATTAGGCTTGCACCAACCAATTTTACTGACTATCAGATGACGGTTATTGCTTACCGTTTGAATTTTCCACTTGTTTGGATTTTAGTTGATGTCTTTTGCCGAGGAACTCTTGTTTCCACCATTTTAATCTATTAATCGACACATCCTGGTACGCAGGGCTTGAATGGGTCGAAGATGAAGAACTAAGCGCCTTTCCTCCTCTCTCTGCACCAGTGGGTAATATTGGTATAATAACATGATGGAGCGGACATTTTGCCTAAAAGAGCATATTCGCACTCTCCCTTCAAGTTCGGAGGAGTGGACAGGCAACGGGAGACAGTTGCTACGCTGCTTTTAGGTCTCTCTTGGGAAAAGGGACAGTTGGCGTTGCTGATGCTGCCGCAAGCGCCGATGATGCGCATAGGCGCACACACCGTCTTTGTGTGTTGTGCGTGTGTGCACACGCCTTTGTAAAAGTGGGCTGTATGCGTGTGTGTGTTTGTGCTGGGTGGACACAGTCACCTCTCCTTGGGTGGCCTCCCTCGGCCATCATCGTGCTCCCTTTTCATTCCCTTATTTATCCAAATCCTCATGGGCATCGTTTATGATTCATTGCACCTTTCTCTGATGGCGTGGATCATCATCATCAGCCTCATAATGCCATTCTTCCCTTTGCCCAATCAGCAACCGCTTTAACACAGAGCTCTCTTCCGTTTCCGGTATGGATAGTACTTTTCCACTGACTGATTCTTCCCACATTTCACATCTACAAATTAGTGAAACAGGAGTCAGCCTTCATTTCTATCCATTTTGAGTTTTGTTAGAACCCGCATAATGTCCTGTCTCTCGTTGCTATGGCGTTTGGCGATTTCTGTTATTGTCAATGATGGTCCATTTATCCTAGTGGTGATCTATGCTTTTAGCCACATAAAAAGGTAGCCACACCAAAAACATTCCATAACTGTGACCATAAGTCATAACCTGTTTATGGTTCGCTCGACTATATAGCATTTGTAACTGTCAACGCCAAATTTAGGATGCATTGAAAAGTCGCTGGACTTGCAAATGCACCGTAGAGGCAGCGTGTTCAAATGGACAGATGAAAAATTGTTGCCTGCCTCGTTTGATTGGATGGTTTTCTGCGCTTTATAAATACACTGCTTACTTTTTATATTCATAAGTAAAAAATAATTTATTTTTGGAAGAGATCTTTTCTATTCCAATTAGGGATCTCTGTAAGCCGTGCTGGCATTGGGAGAGGCGGAAAAGCAATTTCATCCATTGCTTAGTTTCTTGGCGCTAGTCACCAACTTAACGACTCAGCTTTTAATTTGGTGAGGAGGCTAAATAGCCCTATTAATGTTTTTTTACCATATGCATCGCTATCAGTGATTGCTGAATTCGAAGTAGTAGGCGCCCTATTTCGTGTCTGCAATCGTGGGAATGCTAAACATGATCCCTTAAAAAGTGTATTTACTGAAAAAATGACCCATTGCTAGTTTTTTGCTCACATCTTGATATTACTCAGTGCGTTTTATTTTCCATGCTTTTTTTCTCCATGGTTTAGCTATCAGATGTACCGGTCGTCTCGCTACATTCTTAGCGAGGTCTAAAAACAAGATCTTACGTTTCACCATGTAAAGACTATTTCTGACCGGAGTTATAGCTCCGTCTCGGAGATTGGACCCAGTATTTTGAGCTAACATTCAGTGGTTTCTTGTAGCGGATTCCACTGTTTCATGGAGCGAAGCGAGTGCAGTGATAGCAGTGGTACAAATCAACCTCGAAGTGTGCCCCATCTATGTGAGTGTGTAAACTAGACACGTTTTTCACGCACCCGCGGTGTCATCGATGCAGACAGGGGAATCCAGCTGCTATACTGTGGTGGAGCCTGGGAGAACTTCGTGTATGAAGAGAAGGGAACGATAGTCGTCTTTTTCGCAATAACCTCTTCACCCACTTCTCCGCTTCGCCCTTTTCGAGCGCCAAAGGGTGGGTCTCAATTAGACGTCACAATACCTACATAAAATCATCGACAAGACTTCACTGCTGAATACATTTCCAGCCTCCGGTTATTTACTGTCACCCTCCATTCCACTATATAGCTACTGGATCTGGAGTTTCGCTCTCCGACCACATATTGCTTCAGTAGTACTTCCCATCATGCTTGTAGATATTCCTCTGTACCGTTTACGTGCCCGAGTGTCAACGCTTGAAGGGATCATCACCAACGACGGCAGCAGCAGAAACGGTGCGAGTGGAGTACTCGCAGGTCGTCCTGCCCGAGCGTGGCATGTGCCTGGCGGTCCGGAAGGCCTGCCCTCTTCTCTTCTCCGGTCACGGAATCGGTGGACGCAGCCTGCTTGGCGATAGTGTGCCTCGCTTCCTCCAGTGTGACATCTATGCTCCCGTTTGTCGGCAGGTTGGCGCTGACTTCTGTGCTCACTCTGTATCTCTTCCTGTTTCCGTTACCGAATGGCTGGCCAAGAAATCCACCTGTTTTTACATTCAACTGTTATAATCCACGGTTTCACAGTTACATCTGCCCCCTTCTTGTTTTCCTCTTGATACAGTTTGGCGTCATCTTTATTCAACGGGTATTCCTTTTCTTCTCATTGAATGACTAGTTAATCTCTAAACCCTTCGTTTTGAAGTAACATTATTTTCTCCTTCTAAGTTTCTAATTCTTTTAAGACAGTTTCGTGTTTGTTCACTTTAATATGCGCTCTTTTTCATGAAAGGAGATGCGCAAAACATGACGTCTTTAACAAACGATTGCAATTTTTCAAGAAAGTATGCCTGTTTTTCGGCTCTCATTGCCTTCTACTGCTTATTTGAGGTTATTCCCCCTCTCTCAGGTAAGTAGCTATTAAGACAAACCTTCCTTTTGAATTAAGGCAATTTGTGCATTCTATCTCCAACTTTTTTTTACGCTGCTCTTCAAAGTACTTCAGCATTTTTAAAAATTTGCTTTTAATTTAGGACAAATTAATCAAACCTCTGGCCTAAGTTCACTCCCGGTGGTCGGTTTCATTTCTTTCTTGACTCCTTTGTGAGATTTTTAAAGGAATTCGTTTGAAATACGCTTTTTTGTCTCGTCCAGTCTTCAGTTTTATTTGCCTCCACTGTGCATGACTTTATCTCCACAAGTCACTTTTTGGGGTCATATCCTCACGTTCGCTTGTTCTCCGTAGTTCGTTATTCTTTCACCGTCATTTGTGCCTCATAGTGTAAGTACTAGGAATGACTTAATTATTTGCCATTGTTTTCCTTGAATTTCATGTTTAATAATTCTTGTTATGTCTCAAAAACCTTTCATTTTCTTAGTTTCACCATATTTCATATCTCGTGGAGACTCTTGCCGTGGTTTATCTAAAGTGTAGCGTCAGACATAGTCCTCAACTTACTCTACTATGCCTGAATTATGCAGTGCACTTACTTAGATCGTGCCAATTTGTTTATGTGGCTCACAGCAACGAATCTCAGTGATGTACTAACAAAAGTCGTTTTCCACAGTTTGTTTGATTAATTTTAACGCATTTTCCACGGCTTCGATGTTTAGCAGGGATTGTTAGTTGGCACCTGGTTTAGTATACGCGCTGAATGAGTACTCCGATCCAATTCCTTGACACTCCATACCTCCTCTCCCTTTCAACTTCACACCTACACAACCATCACCTAGAAATTTGGCACTACCACTCGTCTTCTCGCTTTAGAACAAGTTGCGGCCAAAGATATTCGACGCCAACAAGGCGGAATGCCAGGCACCACTGATGTCCACCACAAACAGTCGAAATTGGTAAGCTAGGCCAAAATATACTACTGTCATAGTTGCTGTTGCAACTGTTAAATGCCCCCAACGCCTTGTCAGGATCAAGGGCATTGCGACGTGCGCCTTTCCCTGTCGCAGTCCCATCTACCGACCAGAGCACTACACTCTTGCCCGAAATCTCATCTTCGCAGCCGCTGTCGCCGGTATCCTCGTCAATGTCTGCGTACTTGTAGGTTTTTTTTTCTTGCTTTTTTTGCAACCACGATCTAAGTAGTCTTTAAGGTTTGTATTTTCATGATCTTGACTTCAGTTAGCAGCGTCACTTCATGGTTATCTTGCAGATTTAAATACGAGCACTCCTTTCATCCTTATTGAATTATTTATTTAACTTACATTTTTGATTTCCTCCATTTGCCTAGCGTTTGAGTCAGAATTTATTCGAGTCCTATTTGAAAGTTGGAATATAAGCACTCAATTCACATCGTTGACAGGCCTTACTATTTGTGAGTAGTATATGACCGACGAATGACTTTATGTTTTGCCTGCCTTGAAATGTGATCAGTTAGACTCGTCCACGTGTCCAATGTTTTGACAAAAGAAGTCACTTTCCTCATCATGAGTGTCATTCCTGGGGCATTAATTGATTAGGTCTTCTCATTCTTCGCTTATACCTTGGTCGAGTCACTTATCTAAACTGTAGCCATTTTAAGCTTTTGACGTGGTGCCTGCTGTGTCACCTGTCAGATTTGGTGGTTTAAAGCCTTCGCTCATTCTCACTAGCTTAAATACAGGGCAATGGGAGAGGACGAAATGGGGTAGTAAAGCGATCCAATAGAGAAACCGCGTTTTTTATACTTGCCGTGGTTTAATGCTACAATAATTGCACAAAGGCAAACATTGTTTTCACCCATCTGGGCAAGCCGATTTGACGGGGCGGCAGTAATGTGAATCCCCTTTCGGCGGTGCAGACAGTCATAATTTAAACAACAGTAGCAAAGGAAGGAAAGAGAGAAAGGGACAAAATCATGCAAAATGAGCGTAAAATACTGCTAGTAATTTGCAGCGCCTATGGCACTACTAGTATCCATCCTTAAGTCTCGTTTCTAGCACCTGCTTTTTATTCATTCCAACCTTTTTTAGTCATCACTTTCTTGAATCGGAACAAAAACTTACATTATTGTTCCTGAAACAGCCTTGAATTCCACTTCCAGCTTAGTCTATCCACCAGACCAGCTCCGTCGTCATATGGGCTCATTGTTTTGGCCTCAGTCTATTATTAATGGAATGACAACTATAGCGGGACAGTATGGTTTGTGAATTGATTCATCCCTTCAAGAAGCTAAACACTCGTTCCCCTTACTGCTCCGTGGTGGTAGCAAGGAGAACGATACAAGATCTTTTCCAGTTCTTACTCCATTCAGTCATACCGGAAGCTTCTCTGCCTTGGTGGGTTGCTTTACTAGTTCAAATATCTAACCTCCGGTCAATTCATGATGCCAGCTTACGCATGATCTACAGCGCCCCGAGACTGTACTGAAGACGAAAGAAGATAAAATACTCGGACAGGATATGTATTTTCACCATACAGAAGATATTGGGGCTACCGGCATGACCCAGAGGCTAGGTCGCTCAACGGAGTCCCTAAATCGAGAGTTAAACAGCTAACGTATTGCAGTATCTACAGCCTGAACGAGAGTCTATTTTAGCTTATCGCATAGCTCAATTTCAAGTTTAACATCAAGTACTGGAACACAACCTCTCAAACCGCTTGCCTGCTCGCTGGCTATTTTAAGTCAACTATTGCAGTGTTTTGCATCCGTGCAGAAAGCAATGAATTGTCGGAGACATTTCACGCCTAATGCCCATTGACAAGGTAGACAACTGTTTATGTAACCTTTCTGGGATAATAAGTCATCCTCATGCACTTAAACGACTACCAACGCTTTTGGAAAGTGTGACATCGCAAGCCTCTTTATTTAGCTCTGTGTTTACCTACGGAGGCTACTACTCGCTGCCTTTTTTATCTTCAACTTTCCTTATCCATTTCTCACTGTTTAACAAATCATTGGCTGTGGACTTACATAGTCATCCGCCTGCTTAACAGTTCATCCACTTTCATCCACCGCTTTCTTTCCTGGGTCTTTTTAGTTCACTCTGCGACTGATTCGCTCTTCCACCTCGTTTCCAAGATACGGTGGCGGGGAGGGAGGAACGACATTGCCAATGTCGACAATGAGTGCGGCTTATCGTTGTCTGTCACACACTGCGCTCACTTTCATTCACTTGGCCTTCCTCATCGGCTGCCTAGGCCTCCTGATACCACATCTGCCGGGCGTGGATGATGCCGTCGCCTGTCGTGCCGATGGCAGTGTGCGCGTCGGTGAACCGCAGACTCAGTGAGTTCTCTCACTTGGGTGTACTCAGTTATTTGCACCAGCTAGTTGACTGCTCTTTCTTAGGACAGGTTGCGATTGGTTTTAGATTCGCTTTTCTCTGTTTCCCCTACTTCGCGAAAGTTATTAGTTGTCGAAAAACTTGAAGGCTGTTTGACATGACAACACGGCCAACCCTAAAGAAGCTTGAGTTGAATCTAGATTTTCCAAGGGGGAGCGGGATTTATGAGTAAACTCATTTCCGCTGTTCCCACTGACAACGTAGATTTTTTTTTTTTGAATGCACCTTTGATCCAAAAATCACTTGAGCGAGTAATTCTTCCTCTTATTGATGGAGAACATAAATGAGAGCCTTTAAATGCGAATAAAGATACCTCATGTACTGAACAAGTCATAATCTCGCCCCGTAAACCTATTGGATCGATAGTTTCCCCCTTTAAACTACTATAGAAACAGGATAACGGCAAATTTTTCATCATCACGAATTAGGGACTAACCGTGTCAATCGCATCTACATTAGGCTGCGCTGCCCCAACATGCATCTAGCCGACTAATTTCCCAGTGCACAGAACCGTCTTTCGATTGGCGTCCACTTTAATTTCATTTTTGGTCCTGGTTTTTTGTAATCTTTGAAGCGGAAGCACTCGTCTTCAAGCTTTGCAGAAGTGGTTTTGAATTCGTCGTTTCGGGTACACCTACTCGAACACTATTTCAGTAGGACGCGTCTTTTCGCCTTTGCAGAACGGGATCGCCCATTCTCTGTGTGATCTGTTTCATGTTGGTCTACATTCCCATGCTCGCCGTGGCGCTGTGGTCAAACGTCCTTGACTATGCCATCTTCGCTGCATTCCACACCGCCGCCTCGCTCATCGTTGATACCAACTTTGTCGGTTTCACCGCGATTGGCTCCACCCCCGCCCTTCGCCGACGACGTCTCAGTGGAGGTGTGTGGCGCCTTCAATGTTGGCGGTACAAGCATCCTGCACTCCTGTTGCCACCTGACTCTTGCGAACTCCCAAAAAGGCGGCTTAGGAGCGGTGACAGTGGAGGTGGAGTGAATGAGGCCATGGAGGGTTCCGTGTCGCCCGCTAGTCCCGCTGTTTCTACTGTGGCAACAGGAGGTACGAAGAGGCGGCTGAGTGCGATTGAGATGGAGGAAAAAGGTAAGGCGTTGTTGCTTTTCTAAAATTCTTCTATCGCTAAATTTGTGGGGTAAATTTACCGTATCGTTCTGTTTTCTTACTTTTTTTCCCATAAGCATCGCTGCATATTTCTTACATGGCAAACGCTTCATCTGCATTTCTCAACGCCACAAAAAAATCAGCTCGGTAGATTTTTAGATTTCTTGCATGTGCTAAGCTGTTGCTTACAGAGACGCCCATTCGTGTCTTTGAAGGAGCAATCACATATTCATGTCGGTGATTTTCCACTCCGTGGGACTATTTTTGACAACAGATTTTACACTAGTTTGCCTTTACTGCACGTACCTAGCTCATTTTTTGAATAAAAAATCCAGTGCCAGTTTTCTTTTCTTTTTGGCAGCACCTCAACCACGTCAGCCCTGCAGCCAAAACACCACATGGAAGCTGTCGGAGGGCGATCGCCCGGAGCATCAATCACTACCATTGGTTTGCCGCCTCCTCTATCCCACTACGCCCATTGGCTGTGCACTGGCCAATCATGCGGAAATGGGCGGAGGCGACGTGGTGGTTGGTCAACGGGCCACCTTCAACTCCATAGGGTCGCAAATCACCTGTATCCGCATCGCCGCCTTCGCTGTGCCTGTGGTCTTTGCTCTAATCGGCCTTACTGCTTCTGAAGTGAGTCTCTTCGGCCAGTCGTTTCTCTCAAATATCCCAATTATAACATTCTACTTGTGGTTACCCATGCCTACGACAAGTATTGACGGTCGTACGTCGACCGGCCTATTTTTCGGAAAGTAGCCTTGTTTTGTGAAGAACCACTAACCGGAACCGATTGATGGATTTTTTACTTAAGAAAATTCATAAATCTACCCCCCTTCCAGTATCTTTGGTTGATGGTTTCATACCTTTTCATCACCAGCGTTCAGTTCGAGATTTTCCTCATCAAAGCTGGTTGGAATTTACATCTCACCTGCTGCCACATGTTTTGCTTGCGACACTATGTATACATACTCTTTTCTTATTTTATCCAAGCGTTTGCGACAACAAATAAAATAAAGCTTACATGTGTATGCTAAGCCATGAAATGGTAGTGCTTGCGTCCTCCTTTTATGCTAGATTGATGGCGAACCTCTATCGGGCCTTTGTTTGGTGGGGATCCGCACTCTTTGGGCCTACTGCGCCATGGTGGTAGCCCCTCTGGTGCTCTGCCTCTTCCTCAAGGTTACCTACCTCAGCAGGGCAATGCGATCGATATGGCAGCTGCGTGGCTACCTTGTCGTCGCCTCCTATGCACCGGTAGACAGGGAAATGGCACATCGCCTGACAATGTGCTTTCGCGCCTACGGTACGTGCCGACATTAGGTGATCGTTCTACTGTGGCGCTATGAGTAAATTATGCGTTTTGCTTTGTGTATTTCCGCTAGTGATATATATCCTCACATTGACGGCACTCCTTACTTTTTCTGCGGGGGTTCACGCTTACGCCTACGTGGAGGAGCCAAAGTGGTTGGAGACTCAGCGACTGTTTCTCTTGTATGTTTTGTTCTTGATTGCCTTTGCTTCTCAATTCTTGACACTGATTCTATAGTCACACCAACTGACGATATTCACGTTATTTTCCTTTCCATGGTAACCTCTTAACTATTAACAACCAGTTTAACTTACGGCTCATGCAAATTTTTAGCTGTCAACTGCGACATCGCCTAATGGGCTTAGACGGCGTGGCAGCCTCATCAAGCTGTCGAACACCATTTACGACGGATATTTGTTTCTTCGATTCTCCTCTACCTAATTCTCTCAACGCCACCGCTGCTGCCGCCGCATCCACAATCACCTCTGGGCTTCGTGTTCGTCGCGAAGACCATCAGATCGTGTCTTCCTCCACCTCCATATCCTCTGAAGAGGACGTCGACGCCTCCGCGTCAGGACGTCCCCTCGCAGGTCCGATCCTGTTAAACCTCTTCACTTACCTCATGTCCAATCTTGTCTTCGCTTCCATGTGCCTCCTGGACGCTTCTGTTAAACACAAATGGCTTAGTCTTCTACGCAGGTACATCACCGCCGCTGGCGACGTCTTATTAAAAAATTTAAAGTAATCACAACGTAAAAAGCGTTGGGAGACCACGAAGTCCAAGGTAGTCAAATATGTAAATAATACAATTCTGTTACACAGTCTCCACCTCCTTCTTTTAAAAAATTCTCGGGCCTTTTATTGTTCACTTTTCTGTGTTAGCCATCATAACGGAATGTGAGTCAATTGAAATCTAACTGCAAGACCCAAAGGCTGTTTGAATACAGTTGTTGCTTTGCTCCTCGCATGTTTTAATGAGTTTATTAGGTGCATTCTAACCATGAACTCGCTCTCTTTCTCATTATGTAGGGTTATTTCTTTCCTCACCGCCTGTCCGAAGAAATCAACGGGAAGTAAGCCCTTTTCTCCACAGATGATCGTTATCAACAAATCTACGAACTTCCATCTGCCCGCTACGTTCTCGTGGTGGGATCCAGGCATATTCTTCCATGACTATGAGGTTGTGCCGGTGGAGGAGGTAAAGGTCAGTGCCGACAATGGTTCCATCGCCGTAGCTGGTGGTGGTGGAATGGCTGTGACCAGAACTGTGGCCACCTCCGATGTCTCCTGTGGATGCAATCGACGCTACTCTTTGTCCACAAATGACGGGAGTGAGTCGTAATCTGACCTTTTTAAAGTTTGCGCCATCTCGCTGTCTTTAATGCTCTTTTAAACCCTTAATTAGTATCATAACGATCCCCTTAATTCTGATCATCCAAAATGCCCTGTTAGAAACTCGGTTCAAGAGTTAGAAGCAAAGGAACCTGAAGGATTGGAATTGAATTAACCTGCATGTTTCTTAGTTTACGAGAGAGTGACCCGCCATCTGTTAGTTGGTGTAAAGTAAGGTGAAAATAGTGACCGACAGACAGAAAATCAACGTGTCTGGTATGATCTTGGAGTTAGAGCCACGTTTTTTGCAGTCCGGTGAATTCCATACTGACGGCTTTCCGCCTTGACGTTTACTGTGGCTACCCAGTTCTTTTGAGACTCCAGCGGTTAGTAGCAGTACTGTCTGTATCAGTCTTCTGGTAATCCGAATCGGATGAAGCTGTTTGAAGGCTGGCTTATTATAGCTTCACTATCTTTGAGTGTTTGGATTTGGGGTTAAATGCGTATCAGACTGCCTGAGATGGCGGAGTCGGATGTGCCTTCTTTCACTTCATGCAACTTTGAAATGTTCAGCCGTTTAAAGATGTATTGATGTTGGGTAGTCAAATCTTCCCATAGTGTAGATTTGTATACTTACTCAACAGTATCTTGGGAAGTTTTTGGGCTTTGATTTTTTGCGTTGAGGTTTTTGAGAAATGATGTTTTTTAATTACTTCACTAATCAAACAAGATTTAGTCTCCTCACTACTGAACTCAGGTTGGGTGATGTCTTCCGTTGGAGCGACGAATGCGACGTCGACCATTCGCGGAGTTGGTGGGAATACCTCTTCCGTTGCTAGTAGCAATGCGGCAGCGACCACAGCGGTGGCGGTGGCAGCCGCAAAACCGATTCATAAATCGAACTCCCTCACCTCCTCTCAATCCCTCTTCACCGCTCATCGTGGACACAAACCAAGGTCCTCTGCTGGGGGCGCTCTCTTTAACCCGTTCTCCAGCATTCAGCGGGAGGAGGAGGTCGCAGCTACTCTTGAACATAATCTGGTGCGATTTTTACTCGTTTCGTCAGCTCTTTGAATATGGTCTACTGAGCCACGCGATGCATATGTTATCAGTTTGTCGGCTAGTTTAACTATTTTCTTCTTCGGTATAGGGAAGACCAATTCGTAGGAGCCGGTATCGTAGGATGTGGTCGAGCAAGGGTTTAGGTAAGCCAAAGTCTAACTTCCTCGGACCGCATATTTTTTTAACTATATTACTTATGAAACCAATTTTTTCACATTTTTAAAGATCGTTAGGTTTTTGAGGTCGAAATTCAATAAGCTCTTACAAATCTATGATAGAGTTATATTGTTATTGTTCAAAAGATAGTTAGATTTTAACTTTTACTTCACTTTCTTGGGAATAATCATTGATTGGTTATTATTTTCTTCTTCCAAGGTCGTCGACGCCTCGTCCCGCGGTCTTACTCTACCCTCGGCCTTGCGGGTGGGGGCAGCGGTGGTGAGCGTCGAAGCCTGAACAGCCTCCTTCTTCATCGCGCTGTCTCTTCACCTACAAATTCCAGTAATGGGAAATGCGCCAGTGGCGCCGGTCGTGGAGGTCACAGTCAACAAGATCTTTCCATTGGATCCCTTTCTCGTCTCTGCGCCGCTGCGGCTGCAATGGAGCTAGAGAGAAGTCGGAAAAGTGAGCTTCTGAATGTTCTTAGAGTTCATTTCTACACTGTTCTATTTCAGGAGATTACGTCCCTCTGTCTGTTCTCTACCTTGGAAGTTCTGGACGGTGGTTCACAGATCTTTGGACACGCACCACGCGGCTCCACGGCAGCCTCTTGGACACGTAGAGGTGGGACCACCTCTCGTCTCTCGCTGGCCAGTTCGTCGGGTGCTGAGTCGTACAACTCCTTTCAACTCCTCGCTGAACAGGCGGGAGCAACATGGCGTGAGCTCTGGCGTACCCGCCTTCTTCTCATCGATGCTTTGCATTGGGCACAGTCCGCTGCTGCCGCCTCTGCTACCGAAAATCCTCCTCCGCCCCCGCCACAAACGTCTGACCAACAACAACAACAGCTGATAGCAGCGACGTCAATGATGATGGCGTATCTGATGGGCCAACAACAGCAGCAACCTGTGGAAGTAGAGGCGTCTTGTGGCGGTGAGGAGAGCACACCAGACTCTGTCATGATGGCTGCTCTCATGGCAGCGACAGCGGCTGCGCAGGCGGCCATGCACCAGAGTGGACCTCCACAACAGAGTGCTGGGGCCAGCCTACTGCCTCCTATTCCTACTCTTCCCACCTCTCCGGTAAGTTTCTCCCCTCTTTATCTTGCACTATATACAGCTTTTGAATTCACTTAACGGAATTGCATCCGAATTCCGGACATTTAAAAACTCTGATGCATGGTAGTTTTACTTTTTACTAGGTTTTCTGTTATCAGCTCTGCCTATCGCGAAATTCGTTTACAGGTAATGAAATATTGCATGCGAAATTCCTCCAACTAGTGCTTAAATTTTTTAATTGGTAGATGTCCTCGTGAAAATGGTGCTTTTTTATCAGCCCATAGTGGCCGACTTGCATCGAAGATTTGTATTCCTGTGTTGTCTTGTATACACAGTTAGTAGGATTGAGTCATACTGATTTGTGGCCACATAGATACACGGAAACGTAATTTGTGTCGATAGATGCACTCGGCTAAAATGTTACAAAAATTTAGACTTGTGAACGGCTTTATCAGTGCCAGCATGAAATTTGTCAAAGACCTTCTAAGACACCTCTTCTATACAAACCCATCCAACTGCTTGATAAGCAAGCTCTGGACCAGTGCATTCATGTAGTACCCACTACTTCTTTAGTTGAAGAAGATGCCCCACTATGAAGTACCATTAGCGACCCCAGCCTACCCCATACCAAAAGGCTGTCAACCGGATATCCTTGCGGACTACAATAATCTCCATCACCATCTCCGTTCGGCAAACACAGCCTCAACAACAGGTGCAACCGTACGAGCTGTTCGACAAGACGTTGTCTGCCACCTGGACGCTTCTGCGGCTGCTGGTGTCTCCTCTCCGCCGCATCTGCTGCATCCGGCAATGCAGCAGCTGCGATCCCCTTGGGGCCCTTCTCATCAGCCCCCTCCACAGCCGTTGTCAGCGTCTGGAGGTGGTGGTGTCTGGTCTGCCTCTACGACCTCACCAGGTTTTACGCACTTCTCACTACCTGTCATTCCACCCTACGCTTTTGTACCGGTTAGTATTTGTTGGAAACCAGTGTTCTATCAAAGCTTATTGAAAATTTAACTCCCCTTGAATATATGCCACTTGGGGGTGAGTTAAATTAATAGGATGTATTAAACGTTCTGCATCGATTGTCCTTGTCCCTTTTTTTCAGCCTCCGCCACCTCACATAATACCTCCACCAGCTATCGTCAACACGAGTCCGAACCCCGAACGTGGAGACTGCGTAGAAGGTGAAGAGGATGAGGATGATGATGGTGATGATGACCTCGAAGAGGGCTCTGACGCCTTTAACTCGGAGGACGAAGTGATGTCGACCAGTGGCGAAGAGGCTACAGAGACGATGGGAGCAGCAGAACGTCGTCGTTTGCACCGAGGTGGAGCGGAGGCCTCGGCGGTAGACGATTACTGGGACACCTTTCCCACCCCTGAGGGACAACCAAGCTGCGCGGCCGCCCCGCCTCCACCGCCTGACGCCGATGCTGATGACGTCTCCAGTGTCAGTCAGAGTGCGAGTCAAGTGGTCGTTGCTACTGTGCATGGTGAAGCGGCGGAGGTTGAGGCTGATGCTGCGAGCGAAAAGTCTCTTCCAAAGTCCTGAAGCTCTTCGCTCTCTTCCATTTGTGTCTGTGTAAATATGCCTACCTACCCACCAATCCGTGCAGACGCCTTTGATCCTTCCTTGTGCATATCTTCACCTGCGCGATTGTTGCTGCCTCCACTACTGCTCATCTTACACGTATACTGCCGCCTGTCTGCTTGTTTGTGTGTTTGTGCGTATGTCTGTGAGCGTACCTCAAAAGCTGCCTTTTTTACTGTTCTATCAGTTCTTCTCGAGAATCGGTGGCGGTTTAGGCCGTCTGTCATTATTTTTTTTAATTGTCCTTTAGAAAAGACAAAAGCTAAGAGTAACTGTGGCGGGTTGGTGACAGATTTTAAAGGGTAAAGTCAGTTTTGTGTTTTGCTAAAAAGTTGTCGGTGTCTCTTTTTTCGCATTTTTACCCTTTTAGCGTGTTGAGATAGCAAAAGTCGGTTAAAATGCCCTTGTTTATTTGCTACAACTATGTAGGTATATATTTGAGATAAAAATGTGCATTTTACTCACTCTGATGATAGTGCATTTATGCAGCCGACGGCGACTGAGCCTAGAGCACTCAAACAGCCGAAGGGATCACATTTTCTCAACTTGAATCAATGGTTAATTTGAAGCTCCTCTTCTGCAGTCCCCAAAGCTCAGGGACGACAAAGGCCCTACTGCGGTGACCACTTAGCCGCTTTGCCGTAGGTCTTGTAATCAAGTGGACTCATGATTGTTATGCGCTATCAACTAGTTGTGAGCACGTGAGTTCCACTCTATCATTCTTCCCATACCAACACAGCTGAACCTCACAAGACCCGTGGGATTCGTTTAATTGTTTTATGTATGATGAGAATTGATAGTGAGGAGACCATTTCGCTTGATGTCTTACGTTCACTGACAGGTGCATTTTGAAAACCTGTCCATCTGTCATCTACCAATATTTTCGGCCATGACTCTTGGTATTCAAAGCCACTGAATTACTTAGTTGTTTAACTCCTGGGAGTGCGATTTGTCCCTCATGCGCGAGTCATGGTAGGGTTCAAGCTCTCAGCTACCGAAACTTGTGTGACCCTTGTTAGTGGTTTCGTTGCGGATCCTGCCCAAATTGAACAAAAAAGCCCAAAAATCCGGCGAAAACTCTTCAAAAGTGTGTTTGTGGTGCAGGTTCTTGGATTTATTTGACTCTTCACAATTATTGCCAAATCCGTAGAATGCGCGGGGCTCTAATCCCAGGGGTATCGTTGCCTAATTATTTTACATCGGGGTTAATTGCGCAGTTGAGCAGATGTTATCCAACTCCAACCTGAGGCACTCCTCCTGCGGAATTTGTCATTTAACGGCGACGAATGCACTTCTTTCCCGCAATTCGGGATATGCTGCACACTTCCTATATTGGGGGGTACGAATTCGTGAGATTGGATCACCTCACCAAAGGAGATCCCACTCAGGGTGGAGTCAATCAGTCAGCTGTGACGGACATTATTAAAGTCTTGGGTACGTTCAAAAAGCTAGCTGAAACCGGACGAAATTGGTCTTCAGGACTGACATACATGCTCCCTATCAGATGGGATTTATTTTTCTGGTTTCAAGCTGAGGCGCTTACTATGAGCAAGAATTCCCGACCAAAGTGCTGCCCGTATTTACAACTAATTGGCTGTCAGTTTAAATAAACAAAAATTTTGGGGTTTGGAACTGCTTTTATTGGAGTCGGCAGTTCAGTTTGACAAAACTTTATTCTATTTTATTAGAGTTTTCCTATGTGGATTTTTTTGATTAAAAAAAGGTAAATGGGAATGTAACTGGCATGTAGGCTCTGATTCCAACGCAAGAGACTTTAAAAGAGGTTTTGTGAAAAGTTTGCAGATATTAATGCCTATAAACTCAGAGAAGGAGGTGGCATATTTTACTTACCCTTGGTAGTATTAGTTTGTTGCTTAATGAAGCTTAATGCCTAATGGAAACGAAAGTGTGGTACCTTGAGACTTTTCTCAAGGTGAAAGAAGACAGGACTTAAGTGGAATGTTTTATCTATGCTCTAAAGGGCTAGGAAGGCTACCGGCATAGCACAGGAGCCGGGCCGCCTGGCAAGGGTACAATGGCGGAGCCCCTAAGTGGCCTGTTACCGTAACTGAGTGTTAAACAGTCAACGTACCCCATAGCCCCTCTCCCGTTTTGGGCATCGTACCCGGCGCTCCATTCGGTTAACGTACCTCATCACCCGCCACAATTTTGACTGCTGAAAGGAGAAGCGCTCACGAGTCAACCGTGCCAGTAATCAAATTTGCGTGCAACTGAGAAGATATTCTATCGTAGTGTCACTGGTCCCTCCTATCAATTCTATGGGATCTGGAGTACCATCATGTACAGGAATTGTATTGGTGGACTAGGGAATGTGCCAACCATCACGCGTGTCCATCGTTAGTCGTCGGAGCACAGGCCCAAGAGTAGAGCCATGTAGCAGAGATCCTCCTTGCCAATGTGTTCTCACTTCAGTACTGCCCGGTCATTTCTCTCGGAGTCCTATCCACCTAGTGGAGAGGCGGAGGCAGAGCGGATTTACTTAATTGCCAACTTCACACAGGCGATGTGGCCAACTCTGTAACGAACTTTTTAAGATGGTTTGCGGCTAATGTCGCTTCGTTTGTTAATCATTTTCCTGCAGAACAAAAGAGCATGGTATATGTTGACGGTAGACGTCATTTTCAGGCCGCCGCTTAGGGGTCGTCATGTACATCCCCTTCCGTAGCATATGCACCCTCCGCCCAGTTAAGGTCTATCATCTAGAAATAGAAATTGAAATAGATGAATTTTAGGATGTGGTTCACTTTCTGTTGCTATCACTATACAACTTCGAGACTTCGCTGAAGACGGAGCACCTAGGTGGCCCATTACAGAAAATAACAGTTTGGCGCCCCAATTATTACAATCACAGTCCCTTAATATGCCTTAATAAAGTGGTCCTACTTAATTACCCTCATGTCAACTGTGTTTTCCATTTTCAGGGAATGCAACGGTCCAACATGTATTTCATTTCAAACCAACAAGATTTTGCCACTTTGTTCCATCCCTGCCGGGTCTCAGCCCCATGCCTGCTGATACCGACCCGTGTCATTCTAATCTCTTTCAATCAGTAAGGGAAATTTCAGTGCCACCCCCTTTCCTGGACAAAAGTCAAAGAATAACAAACAAATTAGATAGATATTATTGCCATAAAGAATTGTGTAAAATTTAAGGCAAATGAAGTAGATAAATATATAAATTAGACACCGGTAATTTTCGGGCATTAAAGTGGCTAAATTTGTATCCATTGTGAAGAAAAGCAGGTTTCTTCAGTGTTCTAATTTCGGCGCTTGTGTGCAGTGCTCCGAGTTTCGCACCTCTCATGGCTTGTCCCCCTATTGTCGACCTCAGTGATCATGTAGAATTCAGAATTAGGGTACTGCGTGGCGGAGTTGTGTCTCGGGGTCTGCGATCGCCTCTTCGTTTTTCGCCGTTGTCGAGGCTTTCGTGATTGTTGAGCCTCCTCCAGCTCCAAAACCACCGTAGGACATTGCTTGCCCCGGTGAGTATCCTTCCCTGAATGCTGTCTTGCCTGGGACAAAGATCCGCGCACATTCGAATGACTTCTACAGCGTTGAATTATGCGGAAATTTTCATGAACAGTGGGGATGGAAGAACGTGATGATAATGAAGGGTTGGAAGACGAGCTGGTGTAGCCCTTGATTGGGGCAAAGGGGTAAGAGTAGGAGGAACGTGATTCTGGGTGTGGCCGGCTCTTTGCACGAGAGTGCGATGATTTTGCATTCAGTCGCTGATACCTTTCTTTGCTCTTTGGACGTGAAGTCGATCGCGCTTTCTCATACCTCTGTCGGTGACTTTGGGAACTCTTCGATCTAGAAGAGGAGTGTTGCCGGCGATGTGCCTCAGGGCTTTTTGAATGTCCCCGGTATTCCTCACCGAAGGGAATCATTTTAATTACAACACGCATTTCTTTTTTTGCTAAATGCGGTCGTCAAATTAACTCAGGTATTGTGCATATTGTGCTCCAGTGACTGTATTTGCCACAAGGCGAATAACCAATCAGGTGAGGACGTCAAGGTCATTGTCTAATAATTTGGCATTAAGATGGAAGTTTTTTAATTCCAACTGACTTATAGGCGCTGTTATGATGAATTAATGCTCGAAGAGCCGCTAATAGTTACAATTTAGACTATTTTGAGGACCATTATGACAGGAAAAGCTTATAAATGACTGAAGATTTTTCGGGATACATTGAGGGATAAAGTACCGGTTTGCCTTCTTTGTGGCAAGTGGACAAGCTGCAACAAACTGGTGACGGAAAGGTAAAAACCAGCTTTTAATCACCACAAAACTTTGATCATTCGTTAAATCCTACCTCCGTCACTAATAAAGTGCTCCAAGTCTTCGCTGAAGTTGTAATGAGACAGTAGTATGGGTCTATAAGGTCTGGAAGCTGTTAGCATGACCCGAAGGCAATGCCTTAGGCGTGATAGCACAGCCTGCAGCGACTCATGGAATTGAGGAGTTAAAATGATTAAAGTTCTGCAGCTACTTTAAATGCTTGACTATTTATGCTTTCAATGCAAATTTTAACGTAGGTAAACCGCGTATCATATTCGGAACTTGAAGGTTACTCTACCTTGATTGAATTTGGTGTTGCATGTGAAATTTTTTGCTTGCGACATCAGCCAGCCCATTCCCACATTTGGCGAGACACGCCTACGCCTAATGTAACTCGTGGATCTCTGCCTGAAATGCTATCCCAAATGAGATGAATAATTTATTTTAAAAACTTAAACGGACTCTCGGTCTTTCAGACAATGAATCATCCATCTGATGTCCTTCTATTTGGGCAAACTTTCGATACAACATGTGCCAGATACAATTTTTACTTCCTTAGTTGAATGCAAATGACTTGAGACGAGTGTGCGCCTCCTTCTACGCTTGCACCTTATGTTCCCACCAAATCTGGGCTCCGCGCAAAGAATGAAATCTTTGATAGATATTTCCACATTGATTTGCTCCTTCTGCTTCATTTCAAAAAGGTGTGAAGAGGAATGATGGCATTAAACCCCTGCTATCAACCACTATTTAACGGAGAGAGTTGTTGTTCCCTTAAATGACCTTGCAAAGGAGGCCTTTGTCTCCACGTAATGCTTAATCTCCACCGAGTTAAGTTTGGAGTTTATTTGTGCATAGATGCTTTAGCGAGTAGACAAGTGTACAAACGCACCATTGTCTCTACACGGCACTGTAGAATGGTCCTTCCACTTAGTTACTACATTTGCATGGAGGTAATCTCATCACTTGTATCGGTTCCAACAACTTCCCTATGCTAATATCACGTCGGCGGTGGATCATACTCATTAAGTAGGCAAGTGGTATATTTTATTAGTTAATCCTTAGGCTATTTTTGCCATTTCATTCCTATCAAAGAGATATTAATTGCTAATAATTATGCAACGGCCTTATTGTGAAGTACTAATTGTGGAAACTTCCATTGTTGGCATTTCAAGAACTCGTTTAGGATCGCCATCAACTTCACTAAGCAGGTTTACTAACACAAATGTCAACATAATTTTACCATGATAAGACAGTTTAAATCCTTCATAAAAAGTGAAATAGGGAGTGATTCTTACTTACCTTGTTTTTTTTGACATTTTTAAAACTGGTTTTGCCTGCTAGCATTGATAGCGGGATCTAAACGCTACTTAAAAGTGTTGTCAGTAGCAGTAGCATAGATATCTATTTTTTTCACAGGCACTGGTAGAATTTGATGAGCTTAAAAGACAACCCATTTTTCTTCACTTTTTTGACACACCTTATGAATTAGTGATGGTAGGATGGATGGAAATGGTTCGTTTGCTGACTGTTTTGCCAAGGAAAGTGGTTTATGCATTCCAGAGCTCATTCAGGGAGGAAAACTTGTTATTTGATAGTCTTCTACTATCCACTCACTATTCATTAAACGTTCCCAAGACACGCACTACTTCATCCTTAAAGGCACAATTTTTATTTTTTTATAAAGACTGAACAGCATTTGTGACTAGGACCTCAATCTACTTGATAGGATACGAGTTGAACATGTAGAACTAAGCTTCTTCCTGAGCAATAGCAGCACAAGTCTTTATGCGAAGTTGTGGACTTTTGGATGTGAAAGAGGTGGTACCCTTTGTAGTTCGCGAACTGTTTGCTACCGTTACTTGGGATAAGATGTTAAGAACAAAAAATAGAATGGAAACGTTCGTGGATGGAGCTATATTTTTGACATCTAGGGACAAACCTTCCTATAGAAGTGGAATTTGCTGTCACCTTGTCTCGTTTGGAAGATTTATAGACTAAGGTGATGATTAAATAATTCATCATTGTATTTCGGCGTGATTTCTATTTTATTTAATTCCATTTTTAGCTACATGATTGCCCTTAATTTTTCATCTATATTATCATAAAGAATAGATATATATGAGCTTGAAGTGGCAATCTTCGATAACCCTTGTTAATCAGCCGAGTAACAAGTAGAGTGTCAACTGTCCACTGTGTGAATCTTATCACTTTTGAGGGCCTTAAGTTAATTACTCCCATCACAATGCCCACTGACAATGATTCTCCCAATTTAGCAGTGAAAACACGCAAATATACTAGCATAAGGTTGCATTTGACCTGCCTCCAACCCACTAACCCACCAAAATAAAGTAATTTACTTTCGCTTCATTACACCAATCCAGGCATCAAAGCTATCATCGAACCTGGCGCAATTTGTCAATTAGCAGCCCTAATGAAATAAAAACATCCAACTATAAGGTACGACTTTTTGAAGTGGTGGTATTTAAAATTCCCAGTAAATGTAGTGCTCCAAGACTTCTCTGGAGATGAAAGAAGACACAATACTCGGGCAGAATATGTGTTGTCAACGCAGAGAAGGGTTTGGAGCATTGGTAGATTCCCTAAGTGGCCGGTTAAATAAACTATTCACGTAGTACATAGTCCCTCCCCTCCATTCGCCATCGTCCTTGGCGTTCCCCTTGACCAACCTTCTACACCACCCGTCACAACGTAGTCGGTGCCGTAAGAAAGACAGCCACAAATTTTCCATGCCATTCAGTGAAGTTACGTGCAAATGAGGAAGGAAGTTTTGCCCTATTTGGAAACTGTATTGCGGTGAAGGGGAAATGCGCTGTCACTCGTGTCCATCGCTAGCTGTAGGAACACTGGCCTAAAAGCAGAGTTATTTAGCAAATGACTGTCCAGAACCCCGAGACTTCCTTGCAGTCGAATGAAGACGTAATGCAAGGGTATGCATTGTCGACGTACAGATGGGCTGAGGAAGGGCGTTACTTGCATGGCTCAGGGGTCATGCCACCCAGCGGAAGTACCGGTAAAACAAAACGGTGGATTCTGCACATTTGGCTGGAGGCAATGCTTAACTGCTTCATCTGTCAATCTGGTTAAAGCGAGGGAAAATGAAGGAAAACTACAGTTCTGTCAGTGCGTAACTCCTCACGTCACATCACAGTGCACTCATCAGGCTCATTTAATGTGATTAGATCTGTGGGAAATTGGCGTCAATCTCGAGACGAGACAATTATTTATGCCTCAGGTGACTCTTGCTATTAAAGTAAAAATTTCAAATTTCACTGTTAACAATGAATGGATACGGCAAAGCCAAATTTTAATTAGGTCAGGTTTATTTGACCGACGGAGTTGAGCGTTTTTCGTTTAGGGACATACGAAATGTTTGTTTAATCCTCGGTTTCGCTACTGGGATACTTAGGGGCTTCGCCATTGTACCTCTGCCGAATGGGCTGCCCTCCAGACCATCCCAGTAGCTTCAACTCTTACTACATATCGGCAATACGAATTCTGCCCGAGTATTAGGCCTTCTTCCGTCATCAGAGAAGTCTCAAGACGTCACAGGATGTTGTTGCTTGTAAATCCAGTGGGTAATTATTTCTCTTGTACTATGCCGAAATGGTTTGGCATTTTTATGTTAAACTGAGTAAAGTCACCTGTGTATATTTAGTGATTGACCTAAATAGATCGGTTTAGATGACATTAAAATTGTTTGGAGGTCAAAATTAATTTTGTTCACCGTATGCAGTTGCGTTTGAATTGTCTTGTTCATGGCATTTGAAATTTGACGTAGTGAGGTGTTCTGCAATGACAATTATCCAGTGGTGGATTGAATCACTTTTTATTTTCCAAAAGAGAAGGGCATTTTTGACTTTTGTGGCTTAAAATAATGTAAACCGACGCGCTATCTGTGTAACCCTTTGCTACAATCGTCAAACTGCCGATTATCCTTTGGTAGTACAAAATGGAATTCTTTAGAATTTCAATGACCGACTGCAAATTGATAGAAAAAGTTGGTGCTTGATGATAGAGAACGGGAGGACCAAATTCGGTTACTTTAGATGCAGAGCAAGGGCGAGTTATCACCCATTAACAGACAATGGACGAATTCGTGCTTGTGATGCGCAACATGGACACGTGAAAAGCTTTTCCGCTTTTTTACCTCCGCCTCAAAGTACGAGTGAATTCTGAGAAAATGACAAGTATGTTGTCTTTTGAGCTGCAGGTGGCTTTCAAAGCGCTCCATTCAAAGGGAGCTGTCCATACCCACTAACTGATTGACTGATTGTGCTTTATCAATAGCGATTCAGTGTACAGCTTAACTAAAACAAGATTTGTCTTCATACCGATTCATAGATGCGCAGCCAAAGGTTACATTTTATATCCCAATGTCTTATCAAAAGGGAATTAAGACTCCGGCAGGTAGGTGAATTTCAAGTTAGGTGTTCGCGAGTCAAAAAATATTCCCCACTGCCAATCACGGGTGTTATTGTCTGGAGTTCAAGCCTCCAAGATCCACACCATCAGCACTAATTAGCCGTGAATGGCGATGATAACATGCGCGCGGAAGAGAAATGACACTTTGTTAAGCTCATATGTCGCCCATATTCTGATTGCAATGACCTGTCGAGGTTAACGTGTTTAATTTAAGGTGATGTGACAGCATTTAGTAAAATTTTTTGCAGAAGAAACCTTACACAGAAAGATCAGAAGGACGAGCTTTTAATTTGACTAAAGAATACGCTGAGCGCCCTACAGGATTTCACCAAGTAATTTCAGTAAAATATGCGGAATTGTGCATCCTCACGAACACCCTAAGACTACTGCTAAAGTTCAAATTTATTTAAGTACTTTACTTGCAGACACACACTTTGTCTGTCTAAAATAAAGTAAATATGGACTGTTTTCGGAATACTCAAGACATTTTGAAATAGTTCAAATAAGTGACCTAGTACTTTAGAATTGGTTTGAAGGGTAGCGATTTTGAAACATTTCCAGCTTTTTGTGGGAACAAAACATCTTGTATGATCGCCTTTAGTGTTCAAATTTGAATGGTTCTACAAATCCCTTGTAAGCTGAAATAGATAAACGGCAAAATCACTTTATACGACTAGGGAGATCTTACTCCACTAGGTAGTTGCAAGGGAAAAAACGTCGGAAATGAAGTATCATTTTATTTGGTAACAAGGCGATTTCACGATTATCCAGAAAGTATCACATTAAAAAGGATACACAAACGCCAGAAGTTGGAGCTCTAAATTGGATTGCTCTATGTTCTACCTAATTTTTGAAGAAATATTAACAACGCCTCTAGAGGAATCAATTTATCATGACGATAATGACCTCCCAGACGTCAATATTAAGGATTGATAAAATTAAGATAAACAATAGGAGAGCCAAAATATCTTAACTACGGGGTAAAACCCAACTAATTTAGAGAAACCATGATGTTAGAATGGAAATAAAAGTGCTGATGGAAACTGACAGCAAACAAACGGGTTAATTGTAAAGCCATCCAAATATAAAACAATAAAACAGGCAAAAAAAAAATAGAAAACCCAAGCTGTTGAAGCCAAAAATATATTTGGTCGCAAAGTCATACACCTCAACCACTTCGCCGCCACTTACTAATGCACTTCTAAGCGACTTTTTAGGAAAAGCATGTACACACGTTAATAAAATTGAGTGAAGACGCCTAAAAAGGCCAATAATTTCAAACAAATATATTTCATTTGAATTGAAGACAAGTAAAGAGCTATAGAATCATCTTTAGTTCATACTTCAAATGGAAATCCAAAGTATTACTTTGCTAAAGCGCCTTCAGGATATCTACTGATAACAGACACATTGTACAGGATGGCAGATATAAACTTCTTGAACGGGTTCAGGCTTCATTTTCTTGACTGTCTTAGCCTTCTTCGGCTTCTTCTTAAGCAGTTTGATTTCTGGTTCACCGGCTTTGCATGTCACCCTAAGAATACATTCACTGGAAGCACTTTGTTCTTCCTGAGGGCAGGGGCAGCAGCAGACGCAGCAACAACAGCAACAGTTTCCTACGACATTTGGGCATTCCTTACAGTTCTGAAATGCAAGGCAGATCCTGCATGCCATGTTAAGCAAACGATACCAAAAAATAGAACTGCCGATTATCTACGCCAAGGACATCAACTACCCGAGTTGAATAAACTAAACAAATGCTTTTTTCCTCAAGTGAGGAGCTAAATATTTTGCACGGCAATATTTTTCAGATCAGTCTCAGAGAATATTTAAAGCATCATTTTCGCGCAAAATTGGATGACACTAATATCAAAAAGAAATGGAGAAAGGACGGTTTAAAAGTACTCATCAGGAATTCATTGTTTGCGCCTTTCTTACAGACCCTTCTTGAATAAAAATTATTAATTTGTCATTATATTCTTCAAAGAAACGGTTTTGGAAGGAGTAAGATGATTTGCCGCCGTGTAATATGTTTGGTCCTTGTTTCTTACTGTGGGGCGAGGCTCCTTGGTCTCCGCTTCCCGATTCCTAGCGTTCCTAGACAAGCCCGGTTGGTTTGCTTTGGACATCTTTATTAAAGACAACAAGATGTATAGGGAAAATACAATATTCAAGAAGGAGGGGAGCCGCAGTCACTAGGTAAGAGAGAGGGCGATCCAGTTACAAGGTTCAAATTTTTTCTGCTTGCCACCTCCCTGAAAGGCACATTAAAACAACATAAGTATTACATAGCCCCCTCGTCCTTTTAGCGCCGTCCCCGGTGCTA